CAGGATGATGTCATCCTAGGATCCTTCAAGGCCCCGCCCCCTCTCTGCCCCCACACAGGATGATGTCATCCTAGGATCCTTCAAGGCCCCGCCCTCTCCCCTCCCCCACGCAGGATCCTTCACTTAATCACACCTTCAAAGAGCCCTTTTCGGAGGCAGGTCATGTTCACAGGTTTAGAGAGTTGCAACAGGCCTTTGAGGGTTGTGTGGGCTCCAAGTTGGTGCCTGACGTGGGTCCCGCCCGTGTCACTTGTCCTGTGGCCCTGGCCCCACCGGGAAGCCTCACGGGCCAAGTGTATCCAGGGTGTCTTCCTGGCCGGGCTGGGGCTGGGCCTGCTGCTCTCCCTCACCGGAACCCCCTGCCCTGCAGCCTGGAGACTTCAAGAGCGACCCCAAGAACAACTGCACGTTCTTCAGCTGCGTGAAGATCCACAACCAGCTAATCTCGTCCGTCTCCAACATCACCTGCCCCGACTTTGACCCCACCATTTGCGTCCCGGTGAGTGGGCCGCGGGGGGCCTGGCTGTGTGCGCTCTGCCGGGAGTGAGGGTGCCTGGTGTTGCTGCGGCAGTGGCCTCGAGCCTGGTCTGTGCGGCCGCAGGAGGCTTTGCCCGGGGCTTTCTGCAGCAGCTCCCCTGCCCACGGCGCGGCAGGAAGGGGCTTTCACCCCCAGGGATGTCTGGGGGTCCCAGGCTCATTCTCTGTTCCCTCCAGGGCTCCATCACATTCATGCCCAACGGATGCTGCAAGACTTGTGAGTACAGTGCACGGCCCAGGGGTGGGCGTGGTGTGGGCACAAGGGCTGGAGCCCTCAGCCCTGCCTGCCCAGGGGTGGCTGGGCCACGGCCTCTGGGTGGGCATGAGGGCCGGGGGCTGAGGCTGGGCCTTGGGAGGGGCTGCATTGAGGGGGAGCCACTCTGGCCCTCAAGGATGTGGGGACCCTGCCCTGAGCCACTGCCCGCTCTCCCCAGGCATCCCTCGAAATGAGACCAGGGTGCCCTGCTCCACCGTCCCCGTCACCAGGGAGATTTCACATGCGGGCTGCACCAAGAGTGTCATCATGAATCACTGCTCCGGGTCCTGCGGGACATTCGTCATGTGAGTCCCCAGCTGGGAGTGTGTCTGGTGGGGACGGTGGAGGCCCCAGAGGGGCGGGAGGCCAGCGCTGCCCCGGGAGGTCGCCCCTCACTCTGCTCTCCCCCCAGGTACTCGGCCGAGGCCCAGGCCCTGGACCACAGCTGCTCCTGCTGCAAAGAGGAGAAGACCAGCCAGCGGGAGGTGGTCCTGGACTGCCCCAACGGGGGCTCGCTGATGCACACCTACACCCACATTGAGACCTGCCAGTGCCAGGACACCGTCTGCGCACTCCCTGCCAGCACCTCCCGCCGGGCCCGGCGCTCCCCCATGCGTCTGGGGAACGCGTGAGCGGCGTGGGCACATCCCGGCTCCGCTGCCCTCCGCAGCTCTGCCTCCCCCGAGAGGCCTCCTAAGCAATAAATACCCTCGTTTCAGATATTTATTGTGAGTCTTTGTTCAGTCTTTGCTTTCCGGTAATAAACTCAGCAGACTGCTGCACTGCAGGAGTGTGGCCTGGCCACTGTGCAGTGGTGGGCAGAGAAGGGATGGCAGGCCGTGCAGACGGGGTCTGATTCCCTTCTAGGAGCCCTCCCAGCCTGGAGGCTGTGAAAAGAGCCCTGGGTTCCTTCACAGCTGTTTCTCAGGTTTTCCACGGTTGCTGGGGCCTTTGTGTAGCCCCGAGGCTCAGGTGGCCCTGGGGAGAGGGTATGTGTGTGTGTGTGCACACGCGTGTGAGCATTTGTGTGCACGTGTGTCTGCATGTGCCGTGTGTGTGTGAAGTGCACCCCGCCCTGGGTCTCCGCACTGGGAAAAGGGAGAAGGTCTTAGTCCTTAGGTCACTGTCAACTTCTGCTACAAAGTGACAAAAGGCAGCCAGGACCTGGTGGCCCTGCCAGGAATTCCAGGAGCTGCTGGTCAGAGCCACCAACACCTTCAAACCAATTTACAGAAGTTCTGGTTGGCTCTGTGGACTCAGCCGGACAGCGGGTACTGGGTGTGCACCTTGGACACAGTGCCCACATGTGTGGGAGAGCTGAGCCCCTGGCCTTCTGGGTGGAGCCCAGCAGCCCCAGCACAGGCCAGGAAATGGACAGGGCAGGGTGGGGGCACTGTTGCCAGAGGCCGGGTAAGGAAGAGGTGGTCAGGCTTCCTCCAGCTTTCTCATCTGTCTCCCAGCTTGCAGCTGTGAAGAGGGGGCTCCCCCAGTGACACAGTGTGGACACGGGTACAGCTGGCCCCTGCCTGCTCTTCCCTGCTGTGCCCTTTAAAGCAGGGGCTCCCTGGGGAGCTCAGGAGAGCATGAGCCCTGACACCCAATCCTTCCCCAGAGCAGGCCCCGCCCCTTTCCTAGGACAGGCCCCACCCCTTCCCCAGAGCAGGCCCCACCCTTTTTCTAGAGCAGGCGCCACCCCTTTCCTAGGACAGGCCCCACACCTTTCCTAGGACAGGCCCCGCCCTTTCCCCAGAGCAGGCCCCACCCCTTTCCTAGGACAGGCCCCACCCCTTCCCCAGNCCCTTCCCCAGAGCAGGCCCCGCCCCTTCCCCAGAGCAGGCCCCACCCCTTTCCTAGGACAGGCCCCGCCCCTTCCCCAGAGCAGGCCCTACCCCTTTCCTAGAGAAGGCCCCACCCCTTTCCTAGGACAGACCCTGCCCCTTCCCCAGAGCAGGCCCCTCCGCTTTCCTAGAGCAGACCCCGCCCCTTTCCTAGGACAGGCCCCGCCCCTCCCCCAGAGCGGGCCCCACCCCTTCCGCCCACTCAGGATCTCCTGTCCAGAGCCCCAGCGCAGGTGTTGAGAGTTGGGAGGGAGCTGCCCTTCAGGTGGAGGCAGGGTTGGTGCAAATGGAGGGGCGAGGAGACACAGGGGCTCCCCCAACTCTGTCCAGTCACTGTGCAGCCCCCGACTTTATTCCCAGTGCCCCCTTCTTCCTCACATAGCTCATGCCCCCAGCTGGGTCCTCCTGGGTCTCCCAGGGGTGACTTGGGGCAGGGGCTGCCTGCTTCCCTGGGCTCACCACAGTGGGCTACGCCCACAGCAGAGGAGATGGGAGCCAGCCAGCCAGGTGGGCAGCCCCGACCCCCTTGGAGTAGCTGGAAGGATTGGGACCAAGTTCTCCCATTCCCCAGAAGAAGCTGGCTGTTCCCATGGCGGCCTCGCTGTTTCTGGGAGCAGATGGAAGGCCCCAGCGCGCACCCCTCCCTTCCCCTGATGTGAGACTCGCTGCTGTCCCCTTGGCTGAAACAAGCCACGCGCCTGCTGTCGGGTGCTCCGGGGTGCACCAGCAGATCACCACAAACCAGGGCAGGGAGCCGCAGGAAAGCCCTTTCCTGCAGTTTGGGGGCCGGGTCTGAGGGGAAGGCCTGGTGGAACCATTCATGGCCCAGGCTCCGGGAGGGCGCCGCTCAGCCTCGGAGAGGGCATGGTTCAGGCTCCGTGGGACGTTTTCGGCCTCTCCAGCTGAAGGTGGCTCCAGGCGCTCCTTGGCTTGTGGCTGCATCGTCCACGCCCCCCCCTCGCGGGGGCTTCTCCCGGACGTTTCTCCTCTGCGTCTCTTCTAAGGACGCCAGTGGTTGGATTTAGGGCCCACCTGATTGATAGTTCAGGGGGAGCTCATCGAGAGGCCCTTAACTTAATCACATGGGCAGAGACCCTTTTCTTTCCTTTTTTTTTTTTTTTTTTTGGAGACAGACTCTTGCTGTGTCACCCAGGCTGGAGTGCAGTGGTGTGATCTCAGCTCACTGCAACCTCTGCCTCCCCGGTTCAAGTGATTCTCCTGCCTCAGCCTCCGGAGTGGCTGGGATTACAGGCACCCGCCACCATGCCCAGCTAATTTTTGCATTTTTAGTAGAGACAGGGTTTCACCATGTTGGCCAGGCTGGTCTTGAACTCCTGACCTCAGGTGATCCGCCCACCTCGGCCTCCCAAAGTGCTGGGATTACCGGAGTGAGCCATGGCGCCTGCTGCCCGAGTCTTGGTGGCTCACGGCAGCAGGGTTCTGTTTGGCTCACGCTCTGTCCGTGGCAGCGTGGCTGGTGCCCTCCTCCTCATCCACGCACTCCAGGGCCTAGGCTGTGGGAGCAGCTATAGCCTCTGTGGTCGTGGCGTGGAGACAGGGGCCCGAGGGTCTTCCCGTGTCCAAGACCCGTGGGATTCTTGCTCTGCTCAGTCACCAGGCCCCTGGGGCTGCAGTACCACCACCAAGCAGAGGAGGGTGCCAGAGACGTGCGGAGGATTTAAAAACCCAAGGACCCGAGGGGCACACAGGGGTCTGACGGAAGTCAGCTGCCCACTCGACCTGCTGCTGTCGAAAAAGCAAGCTCATTTCTTCACGTCCCCTCCAGCATCTGTTGTCTCCAGAGTTTTCAATGGTCGCCATTCTGACTGGCGTGAGATGGTATCTCAATGTGGTTTTGATTTGCATTTCTCTAATGACTAGTGATGATGAGCATTTTTTCATATGTTTGTTGGCCTCACGTATGTCTTCTTTTGTAAAGTATCTGTTCATATCCTTCGCCCACTTTTGAATGGGCTTGTTTGTTATTTTCTTGTAGATCTGTTTTAGTTCTTTGTAAATTTTGGATATCAGCCCTTTGTCAGATGGGTAAACTGCAAAAATCTTTTCCCAATCTGTTGGTTGCCGATTCACTCAGAGTTGGGGAGAGAGAGCATGGGGAGAAATGCCAGCTATAGGTGAAGGGGAGGAATGCAGCAAATCACACTGCCATGTGTGTACCTATGCAACTATGTTGCATGTTCTTCACATGCACCCCAAAACCTAAAATGCAATTAAAAAAAAAAAAAAAAGCAAGCCCAGCCTGGAAGGGAGCAGTCTCTACCTGCTTAGGAAAACAGCACACGTTGGACCCCTTGGTGGGACGTGGGACTCCCTCCCACAGAAGCTGGGCACACGGGAGATGTTGGCCACGGCCGTGCCTTCCCTCCACGGGGCACTGGAGGCTTCACCAAGGCCACAAGGCAAGAGCAAGGAGAAATGAACAGCAGCACTGGGAGGAGGCAGAGCTCTGCTGATTTGTTTCATTTGTATCTGCTTTTTTGTAAAGACAAGGTTTAGCTGTGTTGCCCAGACTGGCCTTGAACTCCTGGGCTCAAGAAGTGATCTGCCTGCCTCGGCCTCTCAAAGTGCTGGGATTACTGATGTGACCCACGCTACTGCCCTTATTTAATATAATATGATTATCAAGATGTAAAAGCTAACTGGCCGGGCGTAGTGGCTCATGCCCATAACCCCAGCCCTTTGGGAGGCCAAGGGGGGCAGATCACCTGAGGTCAGGAGTTCTAGACCAGCCTGGCCAACATGGTGAAACCTTGTCTCTACTAAAAATGCAAAAATGACCCAGGGGAGGTGGCGGGCACCTGTAATCCCAGCTACTCGGGAGGCTGAGGCAGGAGAATTGCCTGAACCCAGGAGGCGGAGGTTGCGGTGAGCCGAGATCGTGCCATTGCACTCCAGCCTGGGTAACATGAGTGAAACTCCGTCTCAAAAAAAAAAAAAAAAAAAAGATGTAAAAACCAAAAGAAACTGTGACTTTATTACTTGAACTCATGCGAGGGTTCGGTAATATTGTGCTGGCTGCAAGACTGATGAAGGAAAAGCAATAGCGTATGTTCACACCAGCAGAAACCAAGTTGAAATGTGATAGAAAATATCTCATTAACAGCTTCACAGCCTACGAAGACACCCACGTAGGCAACATCAGATGGAAGGTGTCCAGGCCGTGATGAGAACGTTGCAAAGGGCATGGAAGAAGCCTTGACTGACTGGAGAGGCGTGTCACGTTCGTGAATGAAAAGGTTTCAGTTTTGGAAAATGAGGTCCATAAAAGAAAGTGAAAACGGAGGCCGTCTCTGCAAACGGCCTTTCACAATCCCAGTTGAGTTTTTCGTGGGATTTGGTGGGCTGGTCCAAAAGTGCACGTGGACAGCCGAAAAGCCAAGCAGAGCTAGGCAAGTTTCAGGGAACAATCACGTGGGAGGCCGTCTCTCCGAGCCTCCTGCCTCTAGGACGGCGTGGCGTTGGTGCAGGGACAGGCAAGTGGATGGCTGGAACAGCCTGTGCGCTCACGGTGATGTTCTGAGGCGGGCGGGTGCTCCACGTCTACAAGGAAGGAGGACTGTCCCCCCGTGAGTGCTCTGGGCAGGTGCTTCCTCCACGTGGGGAAATCAGGTGCCTGCACCACGCTCCAAACAAAACCGCGGGGAGATTAAACAACTCTGACGTGGAAAGCTAAACCCGAAAACGCTGAGAAGGAAAGCAGGTGTAATAACGATGACCTCGGGGTAGGAAAGGGTTTTTTAACCGAGTCACGGAAGTCACAAGCCATCAAAGAGGGAGCGTTTGACCACACTACACTTTAAAACTGTTTGAAAAAAGACAACAAAGTGAAAATGCGAGCCCTGTAGTGGGAGGACGTACTTCTG